TCGGGTCTAAAGGGGTTAATAATAATTGTTATCATTTAAATATTTAATATATCAGCCTTTAATATTTATACCTTGCATGATATTTCATAATAATTTTTATTAATAATATTTAACGATAATAATCTTTATTCTTTGCACTTGTATGTCATTCCATTGACCTCCAGTATGAAGTTGTGTGGTGTTTTGCTGTGTTTTGACAGTCTGATGAGCTCTGCATTGCTCATTCACATTGTGTGATGGTGATTGACCCATTCATCACTGATTGACCCCTACAGACTTCACATGTGGAGAGTTTTGACATCGCAATAGAGTTACATTAATGACATATATGACCATTGTGAGTAGATGGTCTGTTTCTGGATGTCCAGCTTTGGGTCAGATCAGCACAAGTGTGAGTCTGGATGTAATTGTCATTGATGAAACTGCTCCTCCAGTCTTTCACAGACTTTGTGTAACTTTATGAATTGCATAACCTTCTGGAATTGTACTTTCATAATGAGTTTGGTGTAAACACGATGTACCAATACCTGTCTCAAGGCCATTTTCTCTGTAGTCGTGCTGCATCTGTTCATCAGAGTCTTCCTCTGCCGTTTATAAACCCTTGTGCACAGAACAGAGCCTGTGGTGTTGGGTAAGAACAATAAGCTGATTTCACTGTAGGTAACCTGGTGTATCAGATAACAGCTGATCTCCTGATTTGCACAGTAATGTTGGAGGCTTGATGGAGACTTCAGTCAGAAATCAACAACAGCAGCACTCAGTCATTATTTACTCCGCTGACTTCAGTTCATGAGTCAAGATTCACAGATTGAGCTGTGGGTAAATCCAGATCTCGGTTTGTTATCTGCTCTGTCTGTCGCTCCGTCTCTCTCCTCCTCCTCTTGTTTCTCCTCCTCTACACTGGTCTCCTCATCTCTGTCCTCATTTATCTTTAGTCTCTGCTGTTGTTTCTTCCTTTCCTTCTCAATTATTCTCCTCTTTCTTCTCCTCATTTGGTTTCTCCTCTTGTCCCCTCAGTTTTCCTCTTTTATTCTCGTTTCTCCTCTTTTCTCTTCATTTCTTTTGTTTTTCTGTTTCTGCTCTTGTTTCTCCTCTGTTTTTTCCTTATTTCTTCTTTTTTTCTCTTGTTTTCCTCATTTCTCCTCTCGTTTCTCGTTGTTTCTCTTCTTTTTTCTCCTCTATTTCTCTTTTCTCTTATTTTTTCTTTTCTCCTTTTGTCTCCTCATGTTCTCGTCTCTGTTTATCTTCATATTTTCTCCTCAATTTTCTTCCTCTTGTTCTCATCTTGTTTTTCATCATTTCTCTTCTCTTTTCTCTTATTGTTCTCCTTTTATCTCCATTTTTTCTCCTTTCGTTTCTCCTCTTTTATTTTCTATTTTTCTCCTCCCCGTATCTCCTTATTTCTCCTGTTAGTCTTGTCGTTTCAAGTCTTTTCTCCTCCCCTTGTTTCTCCTCTTGTCTCATTTTTCCTCCTCTTGTTTTTCTTTTTTCCTTGTTTCTCATTTTGTCTCTTCATTCCTCCTCCTTTCTCCTGGTTCCTCTTCTGGTTTCT